GAAAAAAATAGCATATTGTGCATATATTTTGTTTTCTTGACTTTTATCCTCCACTGTACTATGAGCTCCATGAGGCCAAGGTGCTATTTGTTTTGTTTAGCATGAATAAGACCTAACATATTAAGTATGCATTGACTTCAGTTATCATTATGGAAGCAAGCTATTTTAAAATCAATGCTGAAAATAGTTTAATTGGTAACAAGAATTTCTCCATGGCTTGGAAAGAATACTCATTTTGAAGGTCTTATTTGGTTTCATGCCATTCTATAGGAAACTTGAACATTCAAGGATATTAGTGACACACGTCAAGTTTGAAACTAGTAATGGTAGCTGTTGTAGCAATTGTAATAGATGCCATATGCAGCCTTTATTAGTAGCAGGTGCTTTGGAGAATTTTCTCATCTAATACTCTGAACAACTCTATGAGATATCTAACACACACATACACACGTATTGTTGCAGTTTTAAATACACACACGCACAAATACAAGTATTGCTGCAGTTTTAAAGCTTCCCATAAATTCTATGCCATTCTCTCTTTAAAAGGTAGTTTAATTTGCCTCTTCTGGAATGTGAGCTTGGCTTAATGGCTTTGTTCTAAAGAAGAGAATATGGTGGAAGTGACAGTCTTTGGCACCCAAGATTAGATCTTCAAAAGACATCGAAATTCCTCACTGTTCTTTCTAGGGTTGCCCAACCTGAGTCTTCATTTTCTCACCTGAAGGTGAGGGCTGTGGATCCGAAGACATCCCAGCTCTTCAATCACCAGCATCGAGCATCCTTATTAGCATGGATGGTGGTGTCTTATCAGTTAGCAGCCATGTGTTAGAAAGAGCCGATGCTCTGACAATTTGCTGTATTTTGTTGGGTTTGGGGATGAGAATGGTGTGGGGACACTTGAGCAACCCTAGGGACAGACCCATGTAGCTAAGGCCTCCTGCTATTGGTCATGTGAGAGGCATCTTGGAGGTGATCCTCTAGCTCTAGTCAAGCTGTAGAGTGACTGCAGGCCTAATGAATGATCTCACTGCAATCCCAAGAGAGACCCTGAGCCAGAACCACCCAAGTATGCTGCTTCCAAATCCTTAAGCCACAAAGCAGAGATTAGAAATTACTTTAAAAAATGTGTGTACATATGTGTGTGTGTCTGTATGTGTGTGTGTGTGTGTGTGTGTGTATATATATATATATATATATATATATATTTTTTTTTTTTTTTAAGTTGGACAAAGTATCTTTATTTATTTTTATGTGGTGCTGAGGATCGAACCCAGGGCCCTGTACGTGCTAGGCGAAGGCTCTGCCACTGAGCCATAACCCCAGCCCTCCTTTTGTCATACGTTTTGGGAATAATTTATTATGTCACAATAAATAACAAACACATTTGGAAATGAAAGGACAGACGGATGAAGAGCCCTGAACCATACAACTAGTAGAAATGATGCAAGAATTAGAATCCAGTCAACGTGAGTCTAGAGCCCGCGTATTCAACCACACAAGGTCAAGATTACATTTCAATAGCAGAAGGAAAATATTGCCCCATTTTAGTGCCAGCCAGGGCAGTGGATTCAATATTTCCTTGGAAAGTAAACAGACTGGGCTTTGCTTTAATGCAAGGCCATGGTAGGCAGTTAATAACTTAGCTTCTGAGTTCCCATCTGTCCCAGGTTTGTGCAAGCAAAGTGGGAACCTATCTTTCCTGTATTCCTTCTGCCATACCCTTGAGCTTCTGCTCATCTCTACTTTCAATGATGCAATTTTGATAAAACTTCAATCACTGTATTATTTTCCATAGGTGGGCTTGTGACTTAAGCCTGGCCAGTCATTGCGTACTCTCAGTGTTCAACTACGGTGATTGGGCAAAGTGTGAGTGTATGAGCCAAGAAGAGCCCTTCCCTGGGACTTATAAATACCACATAATGCACAAGCCCAGATTCTGCGCTACCAAGGGCTGTATTCTCAGTGGCAAAAGAAGGCTATCTTCAACAGGTGAAGTGCCAACATGCAGAATCAAGCAGAGAGATGCCATCTTGCATCCCTTGAGACCTGAAATCCAGCCATTCCTGAGAGCAAGTTCATCTTTTTACAATCTGTATGAGTCAATAAACTCTGTTTTACCACTTGCCCTCCAGCTGTGGTCAGGATGAAGAGTCTACCACAGTTTGTGAAAGATGGTTGTTACCTTCCACTCTAGGAGCAAAATGAGAGTCCCCCTCACCTGAAGAACCTGGGGCAGCACCAACCATTGGTTGGCTTCCACAGATGGTGAAGCTCTTTCCCCTCTTCGTCCCTCAGGAAGCATCTGTCTTTCCTAGAAGCCAATGATGGTCTGGGGGAACTCAGAAGAGTGTGACGCTGGGGTGGGGGTGGCTCAGTCGCTCAGTTTCAAACCTTAGTCATCTGTGTATCCTTCCTTTCCTTAGTGGCTCACCCCTCCCCCAGTCCTCCGTGCACACACATCCTGTTAGTCATCAAGTCCTGTTGATCTGGATCAAATGGTTCATGGAGGTAGGTGGAGTAACAAATGAATGTTAGCTGGGTCCTTTCTGGACATCTCGCAAATCCAGTTTTACTTCTTCATTTTGACTGCTACCACCAGGAACCATGGCAATGAGTCTCCCTGCCTCTCACCTCAACCCCTGTAGTGGATTTCTCAGATTTCGTCTAGGATTTGTTTTCCCAAGAACACTCTTGATTGCCACACACCTGTGATGGATTCAGTTTTCCACTGCTGAGTGTTCAAGATGTGTCACCTTCAATATCCAAGTGGCTGTGTTGTCCAGATTCATGTTTTAGTCTTCGTACACCTCTCCTGCTGCAGAATCACCTGCCATCCACCCTTACTTCTTTCCCTCCTTAAGTCTTCAAGACCCACCTCAGTCTACCTCCACTGTGAAATGCTCCCTAGGCATGCCGTCCACAGTCAGAGCCCCCTTTTGTGAACTCTGTAAACAACTGTTGTCTAGGTTAGGGTTGTTTTTTTCTTTCCCAAATGTCACTCACATTCCTCCAGGGTATTTGCTAGCACAAGCCCAGTTTTTGGTATTCTTTTAGACTACTGGTTATATATTTAAATTTGTCTGAGAATATTATTTCCAAACCCATTTCCTTTCTTGTCTTCTACTTCCAAATTATGCCCTCATACTATGGTGGTGCATCTACTTCCAAGAACAAATTGAAGATCATTAAACTTTGTTTTGCTGCACTACAGATAGAGAACTGCTGATTATTAATGTGATTATTTAAAACAATGACCATTGGAAAAATATCAATATGAACAAAGAAGAGAATGGCTGTAACCAATTCCACAGTTTCTAAGCCAAATGTGCTTTCTAATTTATTTCCACACCTTCCCACCATTTCCCCCCTCACCATTTTAGTATGGGATTTTAATTAGGACTTGGACTACAACTTGCTGTATTGGGATAACCCGACAAGCATTCATCTGGTACCACTCTCCACCAGCAATAGTGATAGTGTGATAGGCAGACCACCCAGCCCCAGATGGACTATGTGGAAGGACATTCTAGCAGTGGGAACAGTATCTGCAAACTCATGTCCTGGAATGAGCTAGACATAAAAACTTTGTGGTTTAGATTCCAAGGAATTTTCTTTAATTGAAAGATTTGGTGACTTAGAAGGTTGACAATCTCTGGACTAAACCATTCCTCCCACCTCCTTGGCATTTCACTTTCCAGGGGCGCAGTTCAGGGTGCAGATTTACACATAAATTTTCTTTATTGAATCCCACAGGAGCGGACAGGCCCACGATTCTCTTATTTAAATCTCACATCATCTTAGGTGCCTGTTATCATTGCCTATTTACAGAGAAGTCACCAAATGACCTGCCCATAGGCTCACAAATAGGAAATGACCCACGGAGGATGTTACATCCACATCCCATTTGGACAGTGCCTAGCTGGGCATTTTTAGGGGTCTGGATGAAGAAGACCTTTCTTCCAATTTCAGAACAGCCTGCTGGCCCAGCTTCTGAGGTAACTACATTTTTAATAAGGAGAAGCCTTTAACCACAAGGGTGACAATTACCCATGATGTTAATAGGAAGCAATGGCATAAGAAGGGGTTTGGGTTTTAGGGAGTTCCTCCAGTCCCTTGGCTCTGGAGCCTGGCACACAGTAGGAACTCTTTTAGTAGAACCAGAGGAGGAACCACCATTCTCCCCTCATGCACGTGTCTTCTCTCATCTCTGGGATTCAAAGTCCAGTGTGGGCAGGGTCCCGCTTGTGCCTGGGCCCGGACGTTGCCGGGCAGTTGGGTGGACTTTGGGAAATGTTTGTTGATTAACGGATAAGTGGATGGATGGTGGGGCGGGGGCTTCTGACGAAGGCCATGCCTAGCCCTGGACTCTTCGCAGGGGTTACCGGGCGGCCTCGCCGTCCTGGCTCCCCGTGGTGGCCATTCCGTCCTCCTGGGTGGCCTCCACTTCTTCCCACCAGTCTGGAGGGAGGGGCCGCGCAGTCCCCGGGGGCCAGGTCTCCAGAGCCCGTGTCCACTGTCCTCTGCGGGGTTGGGGGTCGGGACCTGGTCCGGCCGAGCCGGGCCGCGGTCCTTCCCCTCACCGGCCGCCGCAGCCCTCTACCTGCCTGGCAGCCGCCCCTTCGCAGCCCCGGCCAGCACGCCCGGAGGCCACCTGGCCCTCCAGCGCGGGGCCCCGGAGCCGGCCGGGCTGGCGGGCGGACCCGGCGCGGCTCGGCCGGGGGACCGGTCCCCGGGGCGCGGCCGGGCCGCCGCCCCCGCCCCCCCCGCCCCGGGGGCCGGGCCGGGCTCCCGGGGGGCGGGGACTCGCCCAGTGGCAGCAGCGTCCGGGCCGGCGGCGGGCGCGGGGCGGCTTCCTGCAGGCGGCGCCGGGGCGAGTCGTTGCCGGCTGCAGCCTCCGCCGCCGGGTCGCGGGGGCCGCGTCGCTCGGGCCGCGTCCGTGCTCCCGGGCGCGCTGCGCGGCCGTCGCTGCTGCCCGCGCTCGTGCCGCCGCCGCCGCCGCCGCCGCTGCCGGTTACGCCAGCCCCGCCGCCGCCCGCTCCGATTCTGCGCATAGGCAGCCCCCAAGCCTGTCATTCTGCAAAAACACAGTTTACTCAACACACCACACACTCGCACACACACGCGCGCACACACGCGCACACTGGCCCCCGCGCGCACACGCACGGAGGGCGCGAGCGAGCAGACGCGCACACCCGGCGAGCCAAGTTCCGCAGCCTGGCATGGCTTCTGGGGACCTTTACGAGGTACGGGGACGCGGGGCGCGGGTCGGCCCCAGCCCGCGGGCGGCGGCGGGCGGCGGGGCCGGGCCGGGCCGGGCACGAGCGGAGTTGCCGAGCCCGCGGCGGCGGCGGCGGAGGGTGGCGGGGGCCGGGCGCGCCGCCCGCCCGCCGCCCGCCGCCTCCCGCGGCGCCGGCGCCCGCCGCCTTTCTCTTTCTCTCGCACACACTCTTACTCCATCTACTTTGCGGCCTTGGAGGGGAAGGAGGAAGCCGGGCGGCGCCGGGCGGGGGAGGTAGCGGTCCCGGGGAGGTGTCTCGCCCGACGAGCCGCCCCGAGTGCAGAAAGTACAGGTAAAGTCGGCGCCGGACGTGCCGGGAATGCGGGGGCCGCGCCGCGGCCGGCGGGGGTGCGGGGCTGGGGTGCGCGGCCGGGCCGGGGGCGCGGAGGCCGGGGGGCGGGCGGCCGAGCGGAGCCCGCGGGGCGCGGCGGGCCGAGGGCTGCGGACGGGGCGGCCGGCGGGGCTCGGGGGACGCCCGCTAAACCGTCCCCGGCCCCGCCCCTCCCCCCCACCTGCTGCCCCGCGGCGGGCTCCGACCCTCTGGGCTGGGGCGTGGGGGCGGCCCTTGCGGGTGTCGTTCTCGCCGGGGCCGAGAGGGGGCGCTGCGGAGGCCCTCGGTGGAAGGGAAGGGAACATGGAAGTCGGAGGTGGGTGGTAACACGTTGCCAGAGGACGAGGATGGGAGCCTTGCCCCCGCCACCCTCCGCCACCCTCAGCGGATACCACACTCCAGGTCCACGCAGGTGGTGGGCAGCCCTAGGTATTTTGAAATCGTTCCAGAGGGGTGAAGGCAGATAGTAGTCTGGCACCTTCAAACAAGATAGAAATACCCCTGGTACCCGTGACCTCTGGAGAGCTAGGGCTTAACCAGCCCTGGACTGCACACGTACCAGCTCTGGACGTGGACAAGTGGACCAAACAAGAAACCAGCAGCGCTCCCTGGAGCCAGAGAGGGGTTGGCTCCCGAGAGAAGGTTCTGGATAAAGAAGCCAACAGATGGGCCATCTTCAACCAAAAGGCCTGCTGATCCTGCAAGAAGCCAGCTCAAGGGTCACTCTAGACCTGGACTCCCCTGAACATAAGTCAGTTAACACCAGTTCTGAATTTCAAGACTTTTGGGTGAATTGAGACAAAAACCTAGAAGCAGTGGGATTCTCCTTCTGGCTAAGAGACTAGAGGGGGTGATTCACCCATGGTGAGCGCTTTCTTCTGGGTCTCACAGGTAGCTCAAACTTTATCAGATGGATTTGCTGGCTGGTGAGGGAGATGAATGGAAAATAGGCAAGTTAGCATCTTGGCCTCCTGTGTAACCAGGGCTTCGTGAGGCCCAGTCATGGATCACTAACCCATATGCAGCTAGGAGCAGCCTTAGCACTTATTGAATGATGTAAGTTGCCCTCTTGTCTGCCCTGTGGCATTCCTGATCCCTGTACTGGTAGAGAAGATGAAGTTGGATGGAAACTTGTTGAAGAACTTTGGCAGAGACAACCAATGGGACCATTAGAGCTCTTGGGTCTCTTTCAAGATGGCAGAGCCATTTCCAGAAACTCAAATTGAATCACAGTGAAATGGAAATTTTGAACTTCCTGTAGTATAACCAGCCCCACCAGGACCTTGGCTAAAAGGAGATGTTCAGGGGCAAAACTAATCTTGTTGAGATCATGGAGTTTTTCTGTCCATTGTTGCCCAATGTGTTAGAGCTGCTGACCTTGCCCAGGTAAAAGTTGCATGGCGGAGGCTTTAAGAGGACCTATCATCACCAGCCATCAGTGTTTCCCCATTTAAAATTTGGAACTTACAAACCTTCTGGGGATAATTTCTTGCTTAATGTTCATCTGAAACTGCCCTCCTTAACGTTGGTAATTATAGTTGCCAGATGAGTCTGAAGAGGGGAATTTTCACAACGGCCTTGAACTATCTTAGCACCTCAAGAGTTCTTATTGAAGTTCAATAAGCAGACAATAATAATAATTACTTCTGTGATAGTAGGTAATTGTACTAGTTGTAAAATGGTTTTCCTGTGGCTGATTATTTGCATAGTCATTACTAAAAGGGCTAAATTGCATTATGAGAATATAACCAATGTCAACATTTTAATAGTCTGTGTCTACATTATATAACATATACTGAGGAATTTAATTTGTTGTTCAAATTTAACTTTAAAAACAATTAAGAACTGCTAAGTGTACATAGACTTCTAACTGTAACATTGTTGTATGCATAAAAATAGGATATTGATTAAGAAAAAATCTTGGAATACCTAGTATAATGACTGATCTTGAAAGGAAAAAACCAGATCTCATTCTAAATTATGCTGTTACTTTAATTAACTGTTATACTTGAATGTACATAAAGTGGCTTCTCATAACCTTTAACCAATAAACTGCATTTTGAGTGGACTCGGAATGACTGCCTTTGTCATTAACATATTTTACCTTTGTGCTGACACTATTTTTGACCCTTTATGGTGAAGATGTGATTTCTGAATTTCAAGACTTGTAGAGTCTTCATCTTCTCTTTGGTGTTTCAGACAATTCAATTGTACAGAGCAAATGTTCCTCAAAGAGCACTTTTTTTTTTTTTAAGACATAGGTACTGAGTTTAAAGACATCAAAAGAAGAAAATTTTGTGTATGTAATGGCACTGTTGAGTGATCTTGAAGGAAGACAGAATCGCGCTCAGGTCCCTCAATTTTGGATCTTGATAGATGGTTCTGCCTTGTTTCTCCTATAATAGAGTCCTCCTCCTCTTCCAGTACATTGTAGCCATCACCTACATGAAGGTGTTTTTAAATATCGATTAACGCCATGGAGTCAGACATAGGCCTAGTTGTAAAGCGAGTTCCTTTTTCAGATGCCCTGGCCTACATCTTGCTGAATGTAGGGATCGTAAGTGGCAGCCCAGGGGCCAGGTCTAGGCTCTGTGTGTGTGTGTGTGTGTGTGTGTGTGTGTTGTGCGCGCTTGTGTGCGTACCTTGCCTCACTGTGGATAAGAAAACTGAACTTCATAATTTTCAGATGGTGTTCTAGATTGTCATGACCTCTAATGACAGTTAGAGACAGTTTGTCACTGTCTCTAATGCTCTGTAACCGTGTACTTCTTCACGCTTACATTTTTAATCTGGCTCCAGTGGGCATTAGAGTCTACAACCCCAGGATTCTGGTCAGTTGTTTACTAAGGTATTTGGGTATCAGGAAGACATCATCAGTAGAATAGGAAACCCAGATTTGTCATCTGTGGGTCCCCAGCTCCTTCACATTAAGTTCTTCATTGACTGAATCCTTGAGCACAAGTCTGATTTAAGTATAAATAAAACACTTTAGGTGGTCTTTTGAGTATCATCCTCTGTTTTCTTCACGTCTCTTGCTCATAGTCTCTTGAAACCATGTGTAGGGTGGCTCAACTCTCTCTCCGGGAGGAAGTGTGTCTCGCTTCTTACCAGAGAAGCAGGCTGGTGTCTTCTTCCAGAGAAGAAGGATGCTGCGCATTTAAGCTTCAGCCACGTGGCTTTCCCTGGTGTTGGTAGTCGGACACTGGAGGAGGGCTCCACTTTGTAGGCAAAGGTGCTGGAAGAGAAAGCTGTAGGTCCTTGGAAGAGGGCAGCACTGGCCAGGTTGAAGTTTACAGAAATGGGCCTGATGGTTCTTTTTGTGTCAACTTTCCAAAGTTCCAACTTAAAAGGATGAGATGCTTCTAAGATGTGCAGTCTTTCTTTCTTTTGGGATTGATGTGCATCCTTATCACTAGGTGTATACAGAGAGCTCCACGTGCCTGTGTGTAGTTATGTGTGTGATTGTGTAACGTCAATGATAAAATACTTTCATTTCATTCCAAATAAAGTCAATAACAATGGAATCGTTTGAGTTTTGTTGGAAAGAATTTACTTCAGTTAAAAATGGACTCCACAGTGATGAGCACAGGCACCTCCACTCTGGAGCTATATATGCACCTTGCGCACTAGAACCACATGCTAAAAATAACAGAGCTTATGGGAGAAGCAGCCCTGAAGCAGACTGCAACCTGTAACCAGAACACTGAGAACCAAGGCAAGCCTAATACAAATGCAGGGCCGTGGGCCTCGGCTGGCTGGTGCGTGCCCCACCCGGCAGTCCTTCACGGCGGCACACACTGAGCTTGTGTCCCTTCTCTGGAGGACATTCGCTTCTCATAAAGACTATTCCATCAAATCCATTCTGGTCCAGGACGCAGCTTTCTTCACTCAGCTGTGTGGGGAGAGATGGTTTGTGGCTTCTTCCTCTGCTCTTGCAGCTTGGCCATGCAGGTTAACATAGTGGCAAGCCCTCTCAAAGTCACCAAATCAGCCACCACTCACGTTAAAGGAAGGCACTGAGTGCATCGCCCTTTGCTTCTAGGGCCTTCATCTGTTGTTAAGTCTTCTCCTGTGAGAGTGGTCGCCAGTGATGGCTTCAAAATTTCAACCAGCTAGGAAGAATCACACTTGAACCAATAGGCTAGTGTCATTCCACTGGTGTCACGTCCCCTATTTACCAGTCGCATTTAAGAAGATTCCTGTCAAAAAAACAAAAAACAAAAACAAAAAACAAAAAAACATGTACTAGCAGAACAGTGTGGGACCCAACTTCTTGAATCCCTGCACGAGTATTTGAGGAGTTGAATTGATTCTTTGGCACATAGTAGGTGCCTGATGAATATGGAGTGGGTATGTGGGTCTCCTTTTGAAAATTATTTTAAATGATCTCCAATGGGTTTGCGTTGGTTTAAGGGAGGGAGCATCCTTGAGAAGGTGATGGCTGTGAAGACGTTGACCTAGGATCTGAGCATGATCAGATTTGCAGGATTAATTGAGAATATCTGAGATCTTTTCAGTTTTGAAAAGCAATGTATATTTATTGTTATATCTTTTAAAAATAGAAGTAAAAAGTTATAATACCTAAGGTAACTGTTATTAAGCATTTAGTATATAATTGTGTTCAGTATTAATGT